AAAAAAAAACCCCCCACACCCACCCTTTTTCCCTAGAAAAGTGGATACCACCTTTTTTTTTTTTTCTCCTCCTCTCCTTTTTCTCTCATTTGCAGTATTTCTATTTTTCTGTTACCACAGATATCCTGAATGACCAGTTTTTCAAGATAGAAAAAGACCCACTGGACTAGCTATTAAAAAAAAAAAAAATCAGAGCCCAGAATTTAAACAAAAAAGGCTGTAATCTTGTTTTGTTTAAACAAAAACAAGGTCAGCAACAAGCAAGCAAGAAATATGTAGAACCAAAAGGGAACTTTTAAATGCACAGACATTTTTCAGTCACCAAATGAACAACATGACAAGTGTTGTACTTTCGTCTAACGCAGAGAGTACCATATCCTCTATTCTCGGTTATGGTTAATTGCCATGAGAATTTTGATATCGTTAACACAGCTGTTCTTCAGATAGAAAACTCTGTCTCAATACAGACTATGCAGGAGTAAATGACAATATATATCCAGCTAAAACATTAACAGTTTTCTTCAAGGAATGAAATTGTTTCTGGAAGCAAACACAATTTTGCCCTCTAGATTTTACTTTTTTGCTGTGTGTAATCTGACACCTCTTAAATATGGCATAAAAAGATTAATACTAAAAAATTATGTGCACATATAGATAGGTGGCTTTTCACTGTCTCCTTTAAAACACATCTGCAAATTGAATCAACTTTCTTTCAAGGGCATTAATGGGATGCAGGCACTAAAAAATAAGCATCATGTGCCTTGAAAAAGGTAAGATTATAATGCAAGTAGGAGTAATTTTTGTTAGGGAGTTATTTTAAAATATTTAGGTTAACAAAACACAAAACATTGGGTAATATCATGACATATTAAACATGTGCATTACATTTACCAGATGGGTTAAGACAGAAAGTTTTTTAAGGAGTTATATTCTATTGCTATGCTCATGCAATAGCAAATACAGGGTTTGATATTTACAGCTCCTTTTGTCATGAAGGACAGGAGGAAAACAGATTTTTCCTATCATGGAAGCTGTTCATCACCTCAGGTTCATGAAATAGGATGGCACTATGTATACTATGTATAAAATTGGATGACACTATGTACACCATATGGATACGACTTAATCCCACTACGGAATACTGTGTTGAAAATGTTGCAGTTTGAAAGCCGTAGTGGTAGTGGTGGTGGTGGGGGGAAGGAGATATCAAAAAAAGGTATCGGATTCACAAACAGTCCGTGGACCGTAGGTCCGAATCGAGTTCCCAAATAGTGTGATCCACTATAAGCTCGACCCTGGCAGTATCGGATTCACGAACAGTCCGTGGACCGTAGGTCCGATCGCCTTCCTAGGAGCGAATCGAGTTCCCAAATAGTGTGATCCACTATAAGCTCGACCCTGGCAGTATCGGATTCAC